CAAATATGTGTGGTTTTGCTTTGTTTTCTTTCCCTGCTTTAATTTCAGCATCATCTTCCAAGTGCTGCTTATTCTAAGCGCAGAGATGAGGCAGTAACAGGAAAGGGCTGCCACTCTGACGTACATTGGGATCTTCAAAGAGTGGGATTGTGGTGGGCTTTATCCAAATACAGAGCCTGGCTAAACTCTGAGAACTGCACTAATGCTGTGGAAAGGCTCTGAGTCATGGAATGTGTTCCTTGACCTTTCTGTAATGTGACAGGAGCAGTAACACAAAGTTGAGCAGACATTGGCTAATCCTAGAAACACCCAGGGAGTCAAGAGCCTGTCATCAGTCTCTTGCAGGTAGGAAAATTGAGGTTGGAGGATGATGAAAGTTGTTGTTGTTGTTTCTTTTAACACAGTAGTTCATAGCAAAGGTTTTAATAATTCTATTTTGTCACTGAAATATTTCCTCAAGAGCTTGAGCCGTGATTCACCTTGGACAGGCTTCAAAATCCTTATCTGGAGTACAAAATCTCAGAATCCCTTGGGTCAGTGTGTGGTGCTGTGCTGTGTGAAGAGGGACAGTCCAACAGGGAAAAATATGGATGAGCTTGGGATCTGAGTGAAATACAACATTATATACTTGTCCAGTAAATCTGCCCTTGGGAAATAATTATTTTGATCACTTCTGAACCCTTGTGAAATTCTGAAGTACCAAGAGGGCTGGATTTTGTTCTGGTTGCTGTCTCTGAAAAATTTCACTGAGAGGTTCTTCCCCACAGCAATAAAAAAGTGTTTCCTGTCCAGATGCCCAATCTCAAAGCCCTTTTCCCTGAGCCTAGGCTGCGGTCAGAGAGCGGAGTCTCACCATGCTGTCCCAGCAGGGTGAACAGCCAGCCTTGAGGACCCACCAGAGCTTGGATGCTGAGATACTTCATGCCAGAGCTGTCCCTGGTCTGCACCAGCACAGCTCCTCCCCAGAGCACCTGGGACTGGGCAGGGGTTGTCTGCAGAGAGAGAAAAATGGGATTTTTAATCTGATCCCGAGTGGTTTGCAGCAGGTGGAGCTACACAGGTCGCGTTACCTGGTAGGGATGGGAGTGAGAGGCAGGGGAGGGAACGTGTTTAAGCCAAGCTCGACATGGGTGAGGGAAGCTGACATCTCACATTTCTTGCCTGCGGTGGGAACTTGCTGGAGACTGAATGTTTTATAGATAAGCACAAGGTGACAGTGCTGGCAGGACAGTTCTCTGCTCTTTATGGAGTGAGTCCTGGTGCTGAACCTGGTGCTTGATCTTTCACACATATCAACTCCATCAAGCAATGATGGATACAGATGGTCTTTCTCAGAACAAGTACAAGGAATTATTTAAGTGCCTGGCAGCCAAAATAGCTCTGTTCCCCCACAGGTCACTGTGTGTTTCAGATACAGAAGGGATGGAGGGAGGCAGCCCTTTGACTTTGGATAGAATCAGAGTTTTATGTTTGAATGAACAGGAGTTGCTAGGACTGCTACATACTTTGAAGAGAAGAGTTTCTAAATCTGGGTGATTTTAACAGGTGCCCATTTCTCAAACAGACTTTTACATCCTGGACATGCTCCAGTCTCATATTTTGATACCAGGAATAAAGAAATTAAAGAACAGTTTGGAGAAAATTGCAGTTAAGAGATTAACTACCAGTTAACTTCTATTAACTATCAGAACTGTGAGACACTGGGGCTCAGGTGGGTATTTTATGGCCTGCTTTGGGTGTCTGCTATTGCAGACCAAGAGGACACAGCAGCTCAGGGTCTGGTTCACCCTCTCTGGAATCGTTCAAAAGTCATGTGGATGTAGCACTTGGGGAAGTGGTTTACTGGTGAACATGGGAAGTTAAGGGCTGGATTTGATGATCCTAGAGGTTTTTCCAACCAGAATGGTTCTATGATTCCACGATAATGGCACCACCCGAAGCCAGGTGCAGACAAGCAGCAGCCTCCACTGGACCATGCAAATTCACCTGGGCTGGTAGCTGAGAGAGGCACCCTCAGGGCAGGAACTCAGGAAAGCAAAGCAGGGTGTGGACGGTGCCTTTTCACCCCTTCTACCAAACTGGCTCTACTCCACCTCACGGCCTCCAGGCTCTGATTTCAAGGCTTGTGTCGTGCAAGATCGAGATGAATAATGTATGAAATGGTAGCGATAGACACAGTGGATGTGCTATCGATGCTGGCAGTTAGGCTCTGTTTTGACTTGTAAACTAAACATTCCTGGCTTCTACATCCTCTGTGGTTTAGTGATTAGATCTGGGAACTGCATTTGGGGTCAAGTCAAGGTGCTCTCACCCAGCTCCAGAAACACTGCTGTAGTCACATGATCTGTTCCTCATCTTCTGCTTGTCTCTCTAAGACATGAACAAGAGGGGGAGGAGATCCCATAAAAAGAAGATGGTAATAATCATAATCATCATTGTTATCATCACCATCATCATTATCTCAATCCAGATTTTGTTTCATTTTGGAACTTATTGTCCAGGGATGTAGTTTAGTTTGAATGGTGCGGACAGTGAACTTGGCATGTATATATCAAACATTCCCATCAATTATGACAGCACATCCACAAGGAGAATTAAACCTTGTAGGTGTTCATTGGTGCTGTAGGTGCACACTGGTGTGATGGGATCTGAGGTCATCTCACTGGTAAGATGGGACACTGAGAGTTAAACTTCACCTGTCTTGATCCTGCCTTTGGTTTTTACCCCTGCTTTTAAAATTGAGCCCAGAATTTGAAATTGGAGAGTGTTCCTGTTTGGCTTGTCTCCAGGAATTTCTGGTTTTGTTCTCCAGGCTGGCTTGGAGCAGAGTAGGTCTCGTGTGTGCCTGTTTGCCTGTGTAGCAATAGTTCTCACTGAAAGAACAAGAAATAATAGGGAAACTTTAGCCCATATTCTTAACTATAATTCCATTGTAAATAATAATTTAGGCATAAAAACTTGTGTGAAACTGATGAAACTTCAGCTGGATGTTCACATGGTGTGGGAGGATCCTATAGGAAGAATAGGGCATGAGTAATGCTGTGCCCTCACTCCAGTCATGGGCTCTGATGTGGTGAGTGGCTTGTATCTTGTCCAAAGCACAAAGGTGGTGGTGTTACTAAGCAGACAGCACCATCCAATGGTTTTGGACCCTTAGGTGAAAGAGGTTTTAAAAGGTTTTGGGTTGGACCCAATTCTTGGTTGCACCAGAATAAGAGGCTGGGGTTTGGCTTGGGGTTTAGCAAAGCTAACACCCTGCTCTTACACCCATCTTCTGTGGAAGAGCCATAAACACAGGTCACTAAAATTAGTCTTGCAAGGCAACTATTCTGACTGGTGTCTGTGCTTTCCCTACTCTGTCTTCAGTTCATGCCCAAGTAAAGACCTCTGCCTGGTTTTAATCAGCTGTAGTACTTGACACTGAGGACCAAATATGTTAATCAGGAGAAAGTGACTGTTTGTAGCTGTAATAGCTTCCCCATTTGTTCAGAGAGGCTGGGTCGGGATCCCTTGAAGTGCTGGGGGGGTTATGGAGCAAGGCTGGTGCATCCCAGCTGGTTTCAGGGCGAAGGAAGAGCTGCAGGCAGTGTGCTGGCCATGGCCAAAGGGCAGCACAGGCTGGAGAGCCTCAGAGAGGATCAGTAACCAGAGAACTGCAGGCACCAGCTCTGGCACCATGCTGCTGCCTTTCTCCTGAGCAAGAAGAAATTTGGTGATTTCTATGGAGACCAGTGAGGCTTCCTGGAAGTTCCACCAGGTCTGTCCTTCTCTATGGTTTGAACATCTGAATGTTATTGCAAGGAAGCCTGAGGACCTGTTAATTTGTGCCTCAGATCTTACTCTGAATGACCTCTAAAGTATCATCTCCATACAGATTCCTCAATGGTAAATAAAGGATGGAGGATCTGGAAGATCTAAAACTGTTAGTTTATTTTTCTACGAGATATTTTATCTCACAGGAAGAAAAATGTACTCTGCTAAAACAAAAGGTTCCGTGCAGGAGTCCAGTTTCCAGCTATTGTTAAAATGTGTGGTTGAGGGCTGGGAACCCTGTGGCCCACAGGGAGCTGGAATGAGTTGAAAAGAGGAGAATGGGTGTGCTCTGCACAGAACAATGTCAGGTCCACATAACAGCACAGAAAAAGAGGAGATTGGCTGGAGCATACAGAGAGGCCCCTAGGAACAGGGATGAACAGCTAGATCTAATGCTTGATAGCTGTGAAGTGTCCCAGGGCTGTCTTCTATATAACATTGCTGGAATTCCTACAGTTTGGGAGTAGCCCCTCTAGAGTACTAAATAACTTAGTGTGGAGTCATCCTAGACCCCTTAGTGAGGACTTGTGGCATTTAAAAGAAAAATGAGCTTTTAGGAGGTGGAAGGACCTTTGAAGTGCAAGGGGTGAAGGAGTTGGCAGTCATGTGCCCATCATCTGCTTGCTTCAGCATAGAGGGAAATATGAAAGTATGACTAGGATAATCAAAAGCATGGAGAAATCTCCTTTGAAGAGAGATGAAAGCGAATGGAACTGTAGTAAAGCTGAGTAAGAGGTGCTTTCACAGACATGTTTCAAAGGAGGAGAATGCTATGCAAAGCTGAGCAGGAACTGCTGTTCTTCTTAATTCCCCTGTGTGTCTGTCTGTGACATGAACAAGAGGGGAAGGAGATCCCATAAAAATACTGTTATTATTTTTATTATCATCATCATCTTAATTTAAATTGTGTTTCACTGTGGAACTTAATTGTCTTGAGAAATAATTTCATTTTAACCGTTAGGACGGTGACTTGACACATGTAATTATCAAACATTACCTTCATGTATGACAACAAATTTACAAGAAAGAGAGTTAAACCTTATGATTCAGAGCTTAAGGTAATCTCTGACTTCTGAAGATTGGATGAATCAGGGCGAACGGGACCAGAGAGCCTCAATCCATTGCTCTCTCCCACAGGGGCACGTCCTCCCTTGAATCCACAGCATGTCCCACAGCTGATACAACCCTGCAAGGGCCTCACTCATGGTGAAGTGCAGCAGCTCCTTCCACCACTGAACATTCACACCAACTTCCCCTGCTGCAATAATGGTGCAGCACAGCTCCTTGTCCCTTCCTGATGTCCACCTCTCTTTGTGGGACAGCGCTAGCCCCACTCATGTAGCATCCTATGGCCTCCTGTCCCTACAGCCTTTCTACAGCTGGGATCCATCTTCTGTCCTGCTAATGGCAGAACTTCTTGTTCATTCTTGCCTGAGTCAGTGGCACTATTAACAGAAACGTGCTGTGCTAGAGAGATGCATTCTGCTACTTTGTAAAAAAATGCAAAAAGCACATATTCCCCCATGGAGGGCTTCAGGGTTGCATAAACACAGGGTGGAGCAGATTTCTGGGAACATTGTGGACATGAGGATATAAATCAGGAGAGTAATCAATGCATGGGACCTGGGCAGGCTCCCAGAGTCCTGCCAAAGGATCATTCAGGCAGAGAAGAAAACTTAGGATGTTTAGCCCAAGCATCACTGCCTGCAGAGTGGAGAGGTTTTCCTACTTCTTTGCATCATTCAACCCAAATTTTGCTCTGCATAAAGTCAGGGTGATGCAGCCTGAGTCGTGTTGTGTCAGTGCTCCCACTGCTGTGAGCAAGAGGCTAGCTGAGACAACAGCACAATAAAAAGCTTCCAGGCAAGGGGGCTGTAAATAACACAGCTAAATTGCTCCTTTCTTTCCAGACTGCTTGTGGAGAGGGTGTTTTTAGCATTGCTAGTGAGGGGTGTTTATTAAGAACATCAGAATTGAGACTCAGACCACCTTTTGGCCTAAAAGAAAGCCCAAAAGATATGTTGTTCATGACTCAATGCAGAAAAAAGGGAAAGTTTTAGGATGTGTCAGGACCAATGACACAATTACTTGACTCACAAAACCTCAAATTACCGAGCAGCTCTGACTTCTGCCTGAGTCAGGTCTTGTGGGAAGGAGGCCCTGATCCGCTCAGGAAGCTCAGTTGCACTCCAAGACACTGCAAAGTGATAGCACTTACGAGATCAGCATGTGTGCTAGAGATCTAGGCAACATGACCTAGACAGGAGGGTGGGAGGATATGCTGCTGTTTAATTTTGGGGTGATGGAGGGGACCAGAGAACTCGGGGGTTTAAAAATAAGCTCTGTGTTTTGGAAAGCTTTGTGGTGGGTGAAGCTCTGTCCCAAAGCCATGACTGAAGGCTCTGCTTGGAGTTGGTTTTACCAACATGGATGGTGTAGCCACTCTCAGCTTAGGTCAGGCAAGTCATGTGCTGACCTTTCCATTCCCTCTTGTCCTATGAGAACCTGAAAATGCCTCTCTGGTGAAAAGAGGGCTTAAAAGACTTTAAAACTGACAGGCTCTGCAACCTGTTCTTCCTGAGTTGCAAGGCAGGGTTAACAGCTCAGGAAATAAGGTTTGTTTTCTACTGTTCACCTTGAAGCTGCTCATTGCTGTTGAATGTCAGATCTCCATAAGGCTGGAGTCAGGGACCACAGTTGCTTTCTCTCCCAGCCCTGTTAGTGCGGCAGGACTCTTAATGCTGTGATTCCCATGCTCTGATCCCCATCTCTCCATAATACAACATGTGGTGGATGGACTGTGCAGCATCCTTTACCTTTGCTCTTGTTTAAGAGCACCCCACCAGGGAATCTGCATCTACACTGTAGTTTTGCAAATGCTTGAAGTCTAGGATATGTTCCCAAATTCTGAAATTTTTGGCAGCAAATTGTTTTCCTATTCTCCCAGTCTGGCAGGGAAACTCCCTCTTTCTGGGCAGTAACACAAGTGTTGTTTACAGCTGATGGGATCTGGTTCTTGGGAAGCAAAACACATCATGAGATGCTGAGGTGTGGCTGAGTGGAAGAGGGACATGGCTTCACCACACCCCAAGCCCTGACCCCCATCTCTCACCTTTACCTGGTGTCAGCAGTGGCAGGTGCAGCTTTGCCTAAAGCCAGCACTTAAACCAGCTGGGACAGAGGGCAGGAGAGAGGAGAAATAATTTCCCTCAGTCTCTCTCCCAGCGGGGTTTCATCCCTGAAGGCACAGAGCAGCATAGCCAAGAAATTCTTTCCTCTAAGAGAAAGCCCAGGCATGAATCCATGTGAGGCTCAGAATAAGAGAAAATAATCTACTTCCCACGCACCCACAGCCTGATGGCCTCTCTTCTAGCATCTCCACAGTGCCACAGCAGCAGAGGACACAGTGACTCCTCTGTAGCTGGGGGGTATGACAGTTTGGGGCAGGAGAGCACCCAGGAGCCAGGCAGCAGCCCAGGAGCAGGCAGAAAAGAACGGAGCTGGAGGAAAAAGGCAGGAGGACGTGTCACTGCCTCTCACTTGGCCCTGGGCCTGATCCTGGGACTGGCTGAGGAACAGCAGCTTCCTCTGCTCTGCCTGAGACTCAGAGCCACCACTCAGAGCCCCTTCCCTGGGCCTCTCCTGATGGCTTTCTCCTGCTGCAGGCATCTGCTGTTCTGAGTGTGAAGGACAATTTGGGAGAGTCTGATCTTACATTCGTCATGCCTGAGGCCTCTCAGATAGCTGCAGCCAGTACTGTCACTTTAAAATGCAAACCAGACAAAATCTGCCCGAGTTTTCTAAAGGCTGAAGCATCTCAGTTGTTTCCTGAAATGCTGTGTTTGTTTTCCTCTGCCTGTTTTTTGGCAGCAGGGGGGTCACAGAGATGGCTTCTGTGAGAAGGTGCTAGAAGCTTCACCTTATGGCTCTGACCCACTCCCTAATGGCTCTGAAGATGAACATGCTGCTAGCCAAGAACATGCTGCTAGCCAAGGCTGGGCCAATTAGAGCTGTTGGTAACATCTCTGCAATAACATATTTAAGAAGAAAATCAGAGCAAAGTGAGGGACACAGTTTTTTTCTAGCCAGAGAAGAGAAGGAGATGCAAACATGTGAGGGAAACAACATAGAGACGCCAAGGTCTGCAGGCCATGGTGATGACCATGGTGAAGCAGCTGTGCCCCTGCAGCCTGTGGGGATCCACAGGGATGTAAAGATCCACCCGCAGCCCATGTGAGAGATGCTCACACCGGAGCAGGTGGATGCCTGGAGGAGGCTGTGAGCTCTTAGGAGACCTGTTGGAGAGAGGGGGTCCTTGGAGGGCTGCAGCCCATGGAAGAGTGACCCACACTGCAGCAGTTTTGGGAGGACTGTGTGCCTGTGAGAGGGACTCACATTGCAGCAGTTTGGGGAGGACTGCTGCTCATGAGAGTGGGCCCACATGGGAGAAGTTCAAGAGAACTGCCTCCCCTGGGAGGGACTCCATGGTCTCACAGAGGAACAACTTCTCTCCCTGAGCAGCAGAAGAAAATTTGAGTGACAAATTCACCAAAACTCCCATGTCCTGTTTCCCTGCACTGTTGGTGGGAAGGCAGGAGGAGTTGGGAGAAGAAAAGATCTTTTTAAGGACCTATTTTACTTCTCATTATTCTCCTCAGATTTTGTTAGGAATAAATTCACTTCATACCTCTAAGTCAAGCCTATTTTGCCCTTGGAGTGTTTTCTCAGAGTCTTTATCTCAACTGAAGAAGCCTTTGTTAATTTTCTCTCTCCTTTGCTCAGCTGTGGCAGGAGAGGGTGAGTGAGCTACTTTTGTGGGTGCCTGGCATTTGGCCGGTGTCAAACCACAACAGATGCTAATGCTGGAGGCCAGAGATGCTGGTGGTTCCACTGCTTACTGACTTTGCAGTATTTTCTGTGTCCTGCTCGCCGAAACAAGCACGAGGAGCCCAGGAGTCTGGGGATAGGGAGCTGCAGGTGAAGCAAGAGGATTTCACAGATCCGTGGAAAGTGCGTCATGGTGGTGGTAGCTTTCGTGCAGACTGGGGAGGGAACACAGGTGGAGCACCCTTCTCGCTAATAAACAGCTAAAAAGCTCATGCCTTTACTTGAAAAGTCATCATGTTTGATGAGCCAGCACAGCACAGCCTCCCTTGGCAGCTGGGTTTCCCAGGATGGGTGCAGGTGATCACTGGAGTGTGCAGGCTCCAAGGCTTTGTGCTGGGAGCAGCAGGAAGAAATGACAGGGAAGGAGGCACCAGTGTCCATGGTAGCATTGGAACAAGCTGGGAATGTAGCTCAGCTCCTGGGCTGAGCTGTGAACCCAGGGCAAGCAAAATCCCAGCTGGGCTCTGCACCTTCTCCACCAGCATGTGGAAGCATGCTGGAACAGTGCCACCCACCTGCCCATCTTCTCCAGCCTGGAGCAGTCCCCTCAGGCTCTTTGCTTAGCCCCACCTGTGGGATGTAATTGCTCCTTAGGGAAAATTTTGGGGAATCTGAGCTGTAATTGCTCAAAGTATCAGCTTCCCTTTGGGTCAGGGTGGAGCCCAGGCTGTGCCACCCCAGCGGACGTGCCAGTGCACCATTGAACCAACCCTCTCCTTTTGCTGCCACCAGGAAATTCCCCAGAGTAGCAAGAGTGAAAAAATGTAGTCACAATACTGTAGTGTAATTCAGTTGGTCAAATAAATAACCTGTGTGGGAATCTAGGGTCATTTTTTACTCTGTAATATTGCCAAAGAATTGTTGCTACAAGATTCTATTTTTAAGTACTTTTCTTGAGCACCTCCCATGAATTTTTCACTCCTTCTGAAGTTCAGTTCCTCCTCCAGTAAAATGCTCCATTTTTTCCCCTACAGCTTCTGTACTGTACTGTATTCCTGACTGACAGGGGTCAGTCTAACCTGATGACCTTATCTTTCAAAGCCTCACACATGTTTTTATTAATAATTTATCAGAAAAAAAAACAAAACCAAAAACAATGTTTTTGGCTAGTGGTGTTTGGTTTAGGTAGATCTTGTCCTGGGCTGAGGCCTCTCATGCTCCAGGTTTTAAGGCATGACTTGTGGTTTAAAGACATACTGCCCCTAGGACTTGACCTTCTTCAGGCAAGGGCTCTGTCCTGGCAGGATGTGATCTGTGGAGGAGGATCACCCCATTAATATTAACAGCCTGCTTCTGCATGGATTAATGGGATGGTTGAACACGCTTCCGGTAGCTGCGTTGCCTTGAGTCTCAGAACCCAGGAAGGTGCAAGTGTGGATGTGTTCTACCCAGCATGAGACTCCTGAACCTGGTAAACTGCAAAGGAGCTGGGATCCCACGAGTGTTACACCTGCCTTTGCAGTCATCTTCTGCTCCTCATCCCCATCCCTAACCCTCCCCTCTGGGGTTCCACTCTGTGTAACAATGAAAGGGGTTTGAAATGCATAAACACACAGAAAAAAAAAGTTTTTCAAAATTAACACATCCACACCTGAGTTTGCCCTGAGGACTTATCCCTAAACAAGTTGTGCTTCTTGATCTCTCCATTCAATGTAAATCTGTGCCAGTTGCTGGTGCAAATTGTCCAGGGCTCATTGCCAGCATTTGAACTGATGCCAAGGAGCAGTCGGGATGGCTGGCAGGAGGAGTCCTGACTTGTCTGCAGGTGCATATTCCTGCTGCTCAGTAAGGTGTTGGCTGCCTTGGGAGGGGAAGAAGGTGCATGAAGGAGAAAGGTCCCACTGCTGAAGACCTCGTGGACTGGATCATTATCTGGTAAAAACTGGAGCTGCTGGATGGAGGGTGTGATGTGTTGGTGAAGGGTCTGGCTGCCTGCCCTCCCCCAGGCTCCTGGGAGAAGGGGCTGCTGGAGAACATCTCATCCATGCTGTGGGGCTGGTCTGGCCCTGCATAACCCCAGTCCTTGGGCACTGAGGTCTTCTCTGCTATGGGTTGATCCCTATCAGCTGTGGAGAAGAGGGATGGGAGGGAGCAGTGTTTGGGATGTGGCTTTGCCACCATCTACTTATACTCGGCATTATGGTGTTTATAATACCCTGCCGAGCTCCAGGGATACGTGGGAGGGTTTGGATGTAGTCTGCTGGTGAACACACCAGCTCTTACCACAGAGTCTTTCCACATGTGGTGCATGGCTGCTGCATGTCCTGGTGTCCCCACTCCCACCCTCAGAGAAGCAGTCTGCCAGAGGCCAGAGCTCCACACTGGGCTGTGCCAGGACTTGTTCTGCAGCCTCCCCGACGCCAGGGTGGTGGTGACCAACTGCAAGTACCTCCCCCTTAAAACCAAGTACTTGGGGTTTTCAAAGGCTCTCTGCACTGTTGAAAGAATTTAACTATAAGGCTTCATGCCAGGTGCATGAATAGTCTGTGAACTATAGGTCTGGAGACATTCAAAAGATCCAGCTGGGTTCAGGAATAGCACAATTTATTGAATGTAACATATATGGTTCTTTTGGATTGCCCATGATAAATGCCTGAACTGCAGAGTGGCTTTATAGAGCACTAACAATACAATGGCAATCACAGCTTTAATTTCCCAGGTTAAGGCTCAGCATATCTGAGGACACAAGTCTTACCAAAAGATGACCCTTTTGGGGCAGGAGAGGAGGACAAATCTGTCAATCTGTTCCTGGAATTTCAAGTAAAATTCTTGTCTGCCAGTTAGATATGGAACTGGGGGGCTTTTACACCTTATTAACCACTATAGTGCAAAGTGCTGCCAACTGTGATCAAATTTTCCATTATTTGTGGGTGTGTTGTACAGAATATTTCTTGGTAGGATGTTTTGGTTTGCCAGAACTTTTCTGGGTATGAGGCAGAAAAACTAGACCACATGGCCTCAACTCCACATTCACCCCCATGCCATGGCAACACAAACCACAGGAGCTACATCCAGTTTCTATGCTTGCACTGTGAGTCCCATTGCATGTCCAGCTTTGCATTTTCTTCACTGCTTTTTGCTTCCACCTGTACACAGGATGCCATGGGGCTGAGCCAGAGCATTGCACAGCACAGTGGAGTGTCTTTGGGTTTGCAGCACCAGGTCAGAATGGCCATGAGGAAGAATCAGAGGCAAAGAATTTCCTATTTTCCTGAAATCAGTATTTAAACTTTTTTCTTTTTTCTTTTTTTTTTTTTTTTCTCCTGTGTTAAGAAAATGAACACGAAACCCAGCCCTTTCACTCTAATAAATTTGGAGAGCTCCTGTCAGCTCCCACACCTCTGGCTGCTGAGGTTTGGTGATGGCAGTGGGGGAGAAGGAGTTAAGTTTGCATTAAATAGCAGCCCAGCTGCCTGCAGGGGCTCCGATCCCACTCTTTATTCCACAACATTTGACGGCTGAGGAAAAGCCAGCTCCAAATTCACACGGCACTTTCTAAACCAAGAACAAAATTCCATCTGTCTGCCTTGGTTCATTCTCTCAGAGAATACCAGGACGAGCTGATTTTGGTGCGGGCAGACAGACAGCTCTTCACTTGGTGCAGTTTGGGGTCCAGGACGTGCCTGGTTGTGTTCCAGGCTGGTGATTCCCGGGGCTCCCCTCCCAGCCGGGGGTGCGGGGCAGCCCAGGCTCCCGGGGGGTGAGCGCTGGTGGGCCAAGGGCCAGCTCTGTCCGCTGTCCATCCCTCGGCAGGTGGATCTGTAGGAAGGGTTGGCTGCCTCTGCCACGGGTGTGAGTTCTCAGCCAGCACTGGGCGGGACGGGAAGCGCGGCCACGGAGCAGTGGGCTCCAGTACAGGGCTGGAAACAGCTGAGACAGGCGCTTACCTTCTAACTCCTCCTTGGACGGCTGAAGAGCTCCGGTCTGCGGGTGAGCGGTGCCCGGCTGGGCGAGGGATGCTCTGTGCGGCTCCTCCCTGGGGGCACACGCCCGGAGGAGGCACGGGGGATCGCGGTGGGCTCGTTTCAAGGGGTCGGAGGTCAGGTTGTGTGCCAGGCGCTGTCTCCTGGCTCGGGGCAGCTCATCCGCAGGGAGCTGCTGGTGGCAGGGTGTGAGGAGCAGAGGAAGCCTGTTCCATGTGCTGGCTGGGGTTTCCTTACTGTCCCGGCAGCCTGGCGGTGGGTACAGGGGCTGGGGGCTTTCACCGGAACATTCGAGGATTTGTGTTGTGTTTAAACGCAGCTGTTCCTGCCTCTTTCCTGCGGGATCCTCTCGCAGCCCAAGATCTCCCCTGGCTTTGGGTGCTGAAGCGACCGATCAGCACGCTTGCCCAAAATGATGGAAAATAAAGTGTTCCTGTCTTTCACGTTCTACAGCACAATTTTGATTTTAAAAATGTATGTCGTTGCCATCATAACAGGGCAAGTGAGACTCAGAAAGAAGGTAAGGTCCAGTTTCGTTTTACTTATCCTCCCTTTCTGTCTCATTGCTTGGGTTTCTGTGGTTTTTCTTTCTTCTTTTATTCCTCTAAAGTTCAACAAAATTTTCCTAAAGCAAGCTAAGTTTTCTTTGACTAGAGTTGAAAGCAAAACTTGTTTCATAGCTGCAGCAGATAAATATCTCACTTCTCTTTGACCCTTTTTGTTTGTTTCTACCATCTGTAGCTTGATGTTTATAATTTTGGAAACCTAATCTAAATAATAATTAGATCTAAAATGCCAAGCAGGTGAGATGCTTCTAGAAAGAGTCTGTTTACAGTTAATTTGTAGGGTCTGGAAAAAAAGGAAAAGGAAAAAAAAATGTTTAAGAAGAAATCATTGCAATCATCTTTTTCTTGTGATGTAGCAGAAAGCTTTTGAGCTTTTGGAGACTGACTGGCTATGGGAATGCTCCAGGAGAGCAGGAAGTTGTAGGGAATAAAACAATAGCTGGAGGAAAAAGTTCTTGGTTGGGGACAAAATACAGGCAGGACGAGCTGCCGTCAGGAGTTGGGACCAACTGGACTTTTATTACCCCTACCCCAATTCCTGATAAAACCGCGCTTCCTGTAAAATCTGTTTTAAAGTATTTGAGGAGATTGTGACTGCGACAGTGAAGCAGGAGGGAGACATTTCTGCTCTCAGATAGAATACAAATGCCCTGTGCTGTGGCATTATTGTAACTGATGAATTGTCTTCTGCCCTTGTGATTCTAAATGATGATTCTCGAGCTCTGGGACAGTTTTGGCTTGTAATATAATTAGAGAAAGCACCAGGGCCCTTTCCAGACTGCAAAATGAAGCTGTCATATGTAACCAGGTCTCTGAGGAGCAGCTTCTGAGCATAGGTGGGGAGCTCTCACAAATAATTTTCATTTTTAACTTTATTAGTGTAGGATCCCATTTCCCCATGGGAAAGCCAAACGGTGCCACTGCCAAAAAGTCACCCAGGGAATATTCTCTCATCTGTCAGTCCTGGTTATCTTTTGGAGGCCACATTGTGTCCGCAAACTCTCTGCCAACAGTGATCTTGCTGGCTGACAGTCTCCTCTTAATGGGTTTCATAGGAAGAAGTCGATTGGGGTGAGGTGGGAGCTCCCTTGAAAGCCTCAATTTGGGACCTGCTCAGAAGGCAGCATTGAGTTTTTTGGAGGACAAGGAAAACTCCTGGGGAGGTGCAGGGTTTAACCCCCAGGATGTTGTGCATGGAAGTACAGTGACCCTCATCTTTATCGAGTGGTAATGAATTGGGGCAGGTAAAAATCCCCACAGGACTTCAAGATTAGGGGCAAAGCTTCTACCTGTGAGGTTCCTGAAGACTCTAAGCAGGTGGGGACTCTCTCCTACAGGCATTTGCAAACCCAGAGGATGCCCTGCGCAATGGGGGGTTGCAGTTCTGCCGCGAAGACCCTGATGTGGAGCGGTGCCGCAGGTGAGCAGTGCCAGCATTCCCCCTGGTGCCAGTGTTCCTGGTGCCACCGTTCCCTCTGAACCAGCTGCTGGCAAAGAAGAATTGGGAAGCTAAAGGGCTTGCTAATCAAGTAATATTCTAGATGGTCAGGCTGCCTCAAGCTCTGCTGTGGGACCCTGCGCACTAGGGCAGTTTAATCTTTAACAGGAGCATGGTGTGCACTGGAGCAAGGGCAAGGGAAGGATCCGGGTTTGTATTCAATATCCAAGTCTGGCTAACTCTCTTCTAGGTGCTCAAAGTCCCACAGGCTACCAATGTCTCATGCCATATCCATAGTCATAGACTCCTTGTGTCCTGCTCTGACAGGACCCCAGATCCCTGCACAGCTTGGACAGGCAGCAGAGTGACTGGTCCTTGTGCTGTGGGCAGCTGCCCTTCTTGGGGATTTGAGAAGAGACCAAACAGGAGTGCAATGACTTTTGCCTCTCTGATTCGGCAAACCCTGAATGTTACCCCTCTTCTGTGAGAATCACAGTTTCTCAGAGATAAAACATGGGGTTATTCAGCCCTGGGCTTGATTTGCTGTCCTTTTCTGAAGGAGGTGCCCCAAGTGCTCAGCTGAATTGCTGACATTGTACAGGAAAGGGATTGGAGCTATGCCCTGCTATCCATGAGCCCTGGGCTGCATGTGGGGACCTCATTGCTCATGTTTCTAAGCATTTGCTTTAGAAAACCTCCAGTGCCACCTAATTGCCAGGGGGAGGAGGATGGAAAATGAGCCGTTTCCTTCCTAGCAAAAAGAAATAATAGCAGAAATAATAATCATAATCTTCTTTTGATTATTCAGAATAAACAAACTTCCATAAAAATAAATAACTGGAGCTGCAGAAAAAACCTGGGGCAGCCTGGGATCTGACTTGGGCGGCTAAAGTTCTCAGAGTCCATCCTTGCTGATCTATTTGCAGCCCTGGAGGAGATGCATTCAATCCAAGATGTTTCCCCAGAGCAAGGGCAATGTCAGCTTTTCATCTCAGACTGTATCTGGAGGGGAGCAGAGCCAGGGGTCTGTGCAGGGCAGGGACAGAGCAGGGCAGCACATTCACCCCCTGCCTCCTAAAGAGGCCCCTGGCTGCCTTTCAGCTCTCTCCTTTTTCCTTCTTCTTCTTCCGTTTGTCCTTCCAGCCCTGCTGAACCCCCAAGTCCTTGGGGTTTGTTCAGAGGATGGTGTCTTGGTGGGAAGGGACACACCACTCACAGCATGAGCAGATCCTGCTTCGGTGGTGCTGTGGGTGGTGGCAGTGGTGCTGTGACACCCGGGCAGGTTCAGCTGGAGCACAGGGTTTGGCCCTATCAGTGCTGATGTGTCACCACACGGCCACCACGGTGTCCCCTCCAGCCATGCTGTGGCTACCTGTACCCAGGTGCTGCTGGCACAGTGTGGGGGTTGTTGGGCCACTCCTCCCCAATGCACTTTGGATGCATTTATGGAGAGAGGTGAAACCACAAACCCTCTCATCCTGTGAGTATCTCCACTGGAGAAGCTGTGGTCTGTAGCTGCCTTTTGTTGTGTGGCATGGCCGCATCTGGGGCCATGCCGTGCTGGCACCACAACAGTTTTGAGCTTTTTGCAGCTTCACAGGGTCTGTGTTTTGCTCTGTTTATTTGAAAGCTTCAACTCTTGAGCTGTCATCTGCTGTGGCAAAGGCATCTTAGTCATGGAGAGAAAGTTTCAGGAGCTCAGTGTCCCAAGAGAGAGACACAGGGTGTGAAATTCTCCTGCCTCTGTGTGTAAGGGAGAGCTGACACTTTCAGGGGCAGTTTCTGCCCCATCCAATGGGGGAGAGACCCAGCAGCACCTAGGGATGGCTAGTCTGGCTAGAAGGAATGAGAGAAAACAGGGAGTTCCAGTGGGAAAGAACAACCTTATCTTGCTTTTCAGGGCCCACCGTAATGACATGGAGAACATTTTTCCCTTTCTCTTCCTTGGAGCCATCTACTCCCTGCTGGATCCCAGTCCCGCAGTGGCCAGGGTCCATTTCCTCATCTTCTGCGTGGGACGGATCATCCACACCATTGCCTACCTCCTGCAGCTGAGGGCACCCACACGCTCTGTGGCCTACAGTGTGGCCCAGCTGCCCTGCTTCTCCATGGCCCTGCAGATCCTCCTGGCCACCACCCCGTACTGGTAACAACCAGAGACCGACCACCCAAACCCCCTCATCCTGACTCTGCTGGACCCCCTGTGAGTGGGAGAGTGAGGGTGGATGTGTGTGTGTGTGTGTGTGAGAGAGAGAGAGAGATGTCACCAGGGAGGTCACCTGGACCCTGAGGATGTTCAGTGCGGCCTTGATGAAATTCCACTGTCATCGGAATTTTGACAGAGAAATCACCAGAGGAGGGACATGCAGGAAGGGGATGTGGAGCAGGTTTCTCTCCCACCTACTGAGGATGAGAGGTGGGAAGCACATGGACTACACCTCGAGGAAGGGGTCATTGAAGGAAAGGTTTTCTGTTTGGAACTGTGGCGGGGAAGATGTGCCTTTTCCTCCTGGTCATGAGTATCCCATGAATCAGGCAGGGAAAATCATGAGAGTCCCACAAAGTCTCTTAGCAGAGGTTACAAAGCAGCCACCCTTCTCCTGCCCAACCATGTGCATCTGTGGGAATGTGAGTCATTTAGGACTTAGTCCCTTAGGTTCCCTCTCCACCAAGGAGGACAGGAGGCCTGTGCCTCCAGACAGCATAACAGGGAAGTCAAAATCTCAGAGGTGATGTTGCAAAGCATTCAGTGCTCCCAGTGCCACCTCATCTCGTGCCACAGGACACAGCTCCCTGCCAGGAGCCTCACTGCAACCCTGCTAGCTGCTGGCAACTCCCAGTCAGCAGCACTTGTCCTTTTCCACCACAGCACAATGCAGAGCGACATGCCTGGAAAAGCCAGCAGGAATCCTTTACCCTGGACACAGAGCCTGAACACATTTGCCGGACACAAAGTTCTGGGGTATCTGGAAAGTCTAAAATGCTGGCACAAAACAGAGGGTTTGCAGACAGAATTTTCTCCCAAAGGGCAGTTTAGTCCATGTGCCACTAATACCTGAAAATGCCCCCAGAGCATCAGACTGAATTTCTCCCGCTCTGCTTTTAGCCTTTCTCTGGCCACAGAATGGCTGTTGCTATTTGGGAAATGTGCTGTGATCGCCGTAGAGGTGTTTTCTTTCAGCTGTTTCCTGCTGTCCACTGCTGCCACACCATTCACAGCCTGGACCAGCTGGTGTTTGCAGAAAGCTCTGGAAATGAGCAGAGGGGCTTTGAAGGGAGTATTGCTGCTCTGCAGTGCCACCCAAACGTGTCATGTTAGAGAGGAGAGGCCGGGACCAGGGTACTGCATGGTGACAAAGGCCCATGAGCTCCTCTGCCACACAGCTGTCCCCAGGTGCCAGGGGCTGCTCCTGGCAGCAGCAGCAATTGAGCATCCCTCTGGAGAAGAAGGCAGGAGGAAACCTCTGCTCTTCAGTGTATCCTCCCTCCTCTGAGGGCACAGAATTTGAATTATATCACAGGGGCAAGCCAGAATGAGTAGGAAATAAATTTCCCTTCCACCTGTCCTGTCCTGTCCTGTGCACTAAGGCTGTTGCCTTGACTGTGCTCTCCTCAGAGATGCTCTTGCTGAGACCTCACTGAGCACTGGGGTGAGCACCTGCTCAGAAATGATGCTCAGCCTTTGTTCAGCTTGGGTAGAAGTTTCTGTACCAGTAACTCGATCCCAGTGCAGTTGTGGCCTGAGGCTGAGCTGTGTGGTGAAGTTTGGAGTGGAATTCTTTGCTCTCCCACTTCGAGGAAGGTGTGCAGGATTGCAGGTTCAGCAGTTCACTCTTGGCCACTTCTCCTTCACACAGATGTCTGGGTAACACAGACCCCTCTTAACAAGTCTTTTCTGCCTCACATGGTGCACAAGGTCTTGAACTCCTCTATGTTTCTCTGCTGCTACACACGCATCCTGGTGGCAGGAAGTAAATATTCCCAATAAAAACAAATCATTGTGCTCTGATACATCCTTCCTTCGGGAGTAGCAGATGCAGCTGGGCAGCAGCTGGGTCCAGCCCCAGCAGGATGTTAAACCCCACTGTAGGGCCTGGAGTGCCCTGTGACTTCTAAAGAGACATCCTTTTCCTCTGCACTCACCTGCCCTGCACAGGAACCTCCTTTCTAGGTGTGCATTATTTGTGCTGACCTTTAAATTCAGCAGAGCTGGGAATTACAAGCAGTCCTGCTCAGTTTTCCTCCCCTGATTAGCAAGTTGTTACAAAGCTTGGTGTTCACCCAAAAATCCTGGAGGGCTGGAGAAGCTCAGGTAAGATGTGGCTGATCTTCTTTCTGTTGTTAGGACTCGTAAAGGAGCTGCTTGCATTTTCCAAGATAAGTAGCTCTCTTTTTTTTTGCACTAGGTTGCTGGGAGACAAATGCTTCATTTCTCTGGTTTTCCCTATTTTCTTAAGTTGTTGCTGGTTGGGAGTTGCTGCCCTGTCAGTGTCTCTGTTAGTTTCGTAAAATGGTTCCAACTTGCTTGTTTTCTTTCCCTGTTTGTTTTCAAATGAGAAAGGCAGTGGTTTTATAAAATGGACTCTCTCCAGTACATGTTGCTGTGGTTGGAGATGTGGCTGGGATGGAGATTTTGGCATGGGAAGGAAGAAGGGAGGCTACAGAACCCCCTGCCAGCCCCCAAATCTGCTTCAGCCTCTTCTCAGCTGCCTGTCCAGTGCCTGAGGCTCATGCCCTACTCAAGGAAGCTGAGGTTACATGCAAAGCTCTGCTTTCTCCTTTTTTATTAAAAAAAAATAAAAATAAATAAACTCTGCTTACTGGCTGCAGGGAAAAGCTTGGGAATGTGAACTGTCCTGGCTCAAAAAAAAACAAACACAAAAAGCCTACAAGGCAAACTTGAGAGAGGCCCAAGCATTGCACTTATTTTGAAGTGTTGTGAAAGTCAGGGAAGCAGGACCAGTCCCATTATGGCTCTCCTGGGACAAGGTGATCAGAGCCCCTGGCTCTCCCCTGCACACTCACAGTGGGTGCTGCATATGGGGGGGGCCTTTTCCTGATTAATATCTAAAGCCTAGAGCTCCTAAATTCCTGCTCTGGCATCGATGTAGGCAAAGGATGTGCCCAGTGTCTCCTGCTGCTCCAGGAGAGCAAGGACGGTGGTTGCACCCACCAGTGTCTGGGGTTTGGTGTGTGCTTTGTGTGTACAACCACTTGTTTTTCACACCTGGCTCAAACGGGAAACAGCAACGATGTGAAACCCACCTGGGATTGCAGAACAACAATTTGGTGCTTAAATGGGTACAAATTGAAAGAGGATAAATTTAGGTTAGACATTAGGAAGGATTTTTTTACTGTGAGGGTGGTGAGACCCTGGTACAGGCTGCCCATGGAGGCTGTGGATGCCCCAGCCCTGGCAGAGTTCAAAGCCAGGTTCGATGAGACCTTGAGCAACTTTGGTTTAATTCAAGCTGTCCCTGCCTACTGCAGGAGTAAATGATCTTTAAGGTCCATTCCACCCCCTTCTGTGGTTAAATGTGCGAATGTGATTCACACAACCAGTACGTGCCTTCCTTCGAGGTGTCTGGAGCTGGGAGAAAAGCAAGTGGAGACCCAGCACAAGCCGCTTTCTCTCCCACACTCTTGCAGGTAGTTCAAGCCCCAGGGTCCCTCCTACCCCTGAGCACCGGACACACCTCTTCCTTACCTGTCTGCACCACTCCCTGGTCTCTCTTTATCCAGACCTTTCCTTGGTGGGATCTGGACCAAGATTCCTCCTTGGGCAGCTCTCCTTAAACACAGATCACTCTTCCACCCTCTCAAAATCTCCCATTCCCTGCAGCAGATGGGATTTTGATACACAAATCCCCTTATTCCTCTTGAGGAATTGAGATTCCTGTGACTTGTAGAGAGAATGAGAGGATCCAGCTCTACAAGTGAGTCCCCTGGAGAAGACAGCGGTGCTTCCCTGCTGCTCTCTGATGCGTGAGGATGAAGTTGGCTTTTTCCAGCGGGCGTTTTCTAACCCGGCTGTGGGGCTGAGCTGGGACACGTCCCCTGCCTGAGCCCTGGGGGAGAGCCCCGGCCGGGTGCGGGGCAGAGCAGCGCGCTGGGGGCTGCGCTGCGCGGGGCTGCAGCACCCTCGTGTGGCTGCGGGACCCTGCGGGGGGACACGGGCACCCTGCCCGGGGACCCGCACACACGGATCCTTCGCCCCCGTCTGGCCAGAGAGCTGGGGGTGCGCATGGAGGTGTTTGGGATAGAGGGTGGGTGCCATTTCTTGGGGAACGGGTCGAGGGGAGGAGGCTGGTGTCTGCTCCAGCGCTCATCAGCCTCTCCAAAGCAGGCAGGAGACCCTCCCATCACCTCAGGCTTGCTCTTTGGGAGTCACCTAGTTGAAAACAGACTGATTTCAAGAAGGAAGCAGTTTGCAAACGTCCTTGCAATCTTCCCCTGCTTCTGAAGTTGTGTTGGATGGATGTAACACTGTGCATCTCCATGCAATAGTTCTTCTCTATACCTGATAACTCTTCCCGGGCTTTGTCCCGGCTACAAAAGGAACCTTTGCTTCTTCCCTTTTCCCCAAGTAATTCTAAAGCATTACAACCCCCGTGCATAGCTACCATCCAGATTCTCTGCTGCCTTAGGTTCTGTCCCTGTGGGGTTGGAAAGAAGCAGCAGCGAACAAAATATCTGCTGCAGGGAGGAGATGCTCCTTCCATATGGAATGTAGAGTTTGGGGTGAGCATCACAACCCCCAGCACAGGAGCATCTCTCCGAAGGGCAGGAGGGGCTCGGCTGCTGGGAGGTGACATGTTGCTGTTACACGAACATGTGTTTCTGCAGTTTGTAGATGGTGCCAGCAGGACTCTGAGGGTCTTCAGACCTTCCCGTTGCCACCAGAGGGAGAAGGGCTCAGCAGCACAAGCATAGTGGGAAAGGAGGATACTGTAACCACGATATGTCTGTAAATCATTCTGGATGGGATAACCAGGCGGGTGCCCTGTGAGCTGGAAAATGTGAGCTCTGTTTTGTCATCAGCCGATGCTGATGACAACACAAAATTGTTCTCATTAAAATATTCTAGGGGAAAACTTCAACTTTTCATCAGTCAGCAATTCATGCACAAGTGTCAGGCTGTGGGGTCAGAAACAAGGAAAGGGGATCCAGAAAGATCCTCCCATCACCTGAGACCCGCCCTTTTGGAATCACCTAGTTGAAAACTAAGTGCTTTGAGGAAGGAAACGTTTTGCAAATGTCTTTGCAACCTTTCCCCCTCCCAAAGTTGTAGTGCATGGATGGAGACCAGCTCTCCTGCCGAAATTAGTACTGGTGATGGATGTGCCCTTCCTGGGAGGAAAAATGCCCCCATCTTGGAAGAGCAGAGGTCGCACAATGCCTTTGAGCTCCTCTTTATTGACAGCCTTACCCCTGTATCACCCTCCCCTGTGGAGTGCAGACCCTGCCAGGTGAGCTACAGCTCTCCACACTTGTCTGTCCCCTCGTTTGAGACCCCTCAGATGCCCATCAGCTCCTGGGAGCTGACTGACCATGGGTTGAGACCTTCTGCTCTAGTGGAAGATGAACTGAAGTTGGGACAGTTCAGGCAGGAAATAAGTGACATATTTCCAGCACTCAAGAGTTATGAGTCACTAGAGGAATCTGCCCTGGCATCTGTAAGTTCATCACTTCCAAGGGTCTTTTGACTTGGGGCTGGATGATCTCCAAAGGGATGCTCTGCACTGGCCACATGCTGAGGACATGAGGATGCTGCTTGGGTGATATTCTTTATTCACGAGGTTGGACAATTTGCCTTCATGATCTACAAGCCACTTACTGAATTAATAAATAAGTAGTTACAAAGCAGCAGCAGAGCAGTTTGGCAGGCATGGTCAAGTGTGTGGGACCATGGTGGTCCTGGGGTGATGTCCAATATGGAGACTGGGTGCTGCAGGGATGATGTGGGGTGAGCCTTGTTCCCCTCTAGGGAAATCTGGGATGCATTGTTTAGGGGTCCTTCCTTCCTCAGCCTTGCCATCCACAGGATCCACGTGTCCCAACAGCCACAAGTGATGGGAGGGACAATGGTTGCTGCTGGGAGGGAGCTGATCCTGTGGTCCTGGTGGAGCTGAGCCTCTCTGGGTGCATGGGATAGCATTGTGGCTCCCCTGGCTATGTGGGGGGATTGGGGATGGCCTGGGGAGGAGGAGGTGTCAGAGACATCCTGTAAGTGACATGATGTGAGCTGGCCTGACTGGAGGCTGCTGCAATTCAGAATGTGAAGGCAAGTAAAAGAAACAAGGGAAACCCATGTGTCCCTTCTCCTCCCAGCTCTCCCAGCTCCTGGAAGTCAGTTGGCAGAGCAGCAGTTTTCTGTACAGGTGGTTGAATCCTTGCCACATTGCACCAACACACACCCACCCACCATTAACTTTCTCACCCTCTCTGAACACACAATAACTTTGATCTCCACAATACCTTGGGGCAATGGACTTCAGGCTTTTTTGGTGCTGTGAGTACACTTTCTGCCTTGCTCTCTAATAATTTCCTAGCAATTCCTGCCACTTGACTCGCTGCCTTTCAGTCTGAGCTTGTCCCGGCAGTTTCCCCAGGGCGCATCTTCACACCTCTCCACATTGCATTAAATCTGCTGCTTGATAGCCCAGGACTGTGAGCTTCTGGAGTCCTGCTTACCTTTGGATGCCTCAACTATTTGGTATCACCTTTTCCTTACCACTGAATCCTCCTGTTTTGGGTGCATAGTGCCTGCTCTGGACCTGTGGGCCTTTGCTCCCCGGAAAGCGCTCTACAATCTGATGGTTTATTTCTACCCTTTGGTTTCTTTCAGCTCAATTTCTGTGCAGAATTTGACCCTCCTTGCTGCCTCTTAATTCAATTTCTGCCCAGGCTGCTGGTCCAGAGAAGGTGGGGAAACCACAGTGGCAGGTGATGGAAGACTCAGGTCCCTATCACATGCACTGACACATCTCTACTCAGTAAAATATTTATTCCTCCATTATTTCACAAGAGTTGTTTTTACAAAAACCTTACAAAAATTTCCAAAACACAGACATGCAGAAGAAAGAAACAAATCCACCGTGGATCTTGTTACAAGTAATTGAAATGTACAAATAGAAAGGGTGAGAGAGAGAGCTTAGATTACAATAATCCCTCGGTCCTGCTACCCCCTCCATGGGTGCAATTTGTATCTCTTCTTGGTGAGTTCAGTATTGACTGACAAGCTGTGATAAGCTGCCAAAAGCACAGCAAAGGAGGGGCCCTAAGATTAGGAGCAAATGTTTTCAAATATATATATACATATAGATATTTAGTGAAGAAATATTTATTCCCTGCTTTTTTTAGGTTTACAGAAACAGCATCTGCAAACTATTAAATGGGTTTATTTTCATTAATGTTCTCAAAGAGGCAGCAACATTTATATCCCTGTGGTTTCATCTTGTATAACCGAAAAAAGAGCCCTGTGCTTTCCATGGGAATAGGACCCCCCTGGCCCCCTCCTCCTGCCCCAAGCAGTGTTTCTCAGGGTGGATGATTTGATCCACAGTGGATCCCTATTCCCCCTGCCATGGCAGGTCTCTGTGCAGTGTGGGGAGCTGCGTGCTCTTCTTCTGGCATGACAAATGGGAGGGATACCAGCCCTGGAAATACAGAGAGTGGGTGTTTATGGTGACAGTGCTCCCTGGATGAGGTGGACAGTGTCAGTCAGGCTGTGCCTGCTCCCTGCCTGCCAAGCTTGAGGAGGAGAAGGTTGCTGTTCCCAACTGGGGGCTGCACTGTAGAGCAGAGAAGGCAGAGGCTGGAGGCAGGATGGAGGGGCTGATTCACACCCAGAGAGAGGAGATGGTTCTCCCATCAGGTCTCCAGCTCTGGGTGCTGGGTGAGTCCCCCTCATGCTGGCATTGCCTGGGGTGCAGCTGAAGGCCCTGGTGTCACAGCCACTGGGTGCCACATGCAGCTGCAGTGAAAGCCCCAGTGGAAATGAGAGAGGATGCTCCAGGGAGCTGTGGGGACTCAGGTGGGCACTTTGTAGCTGTGGCACTTATAGCCTCAGTGTCACCAACCAGAGGATGTTTGCCTGGAGGAGGCACCTCAGCAATTGCTCTATTTGTCCTCAGATCTATTGCTGCAGCCCCCAGATCAACCTCTTCTAGGGAAGTAGGGCTGTCTTCTCTGTCCAGGCCACCCCTCTGAGCTGGTGGTGTCCCCATGCTTGGCTGGTGGCTCTTTCCAGTGGGTGAGGAAAGGGTGATCTGGTTTCCAGTGGGTTTTGTCCACAGGGACACCACACCTCCACCACTCCGGCCGTGGAACTGGCAGGGGAACATGGAGGCTGCATCTCTCCGCAGTTCAGTCCCAGGGATTAGGGCCAGGCTGCCCACCCTGTGTCCATCCCCCTGCACATCCCACCTTGGAACCTCATTAGGCTGCACAGCAGGGTGAGATGAGGGGGAAACCATTTCCTTTCTGCAAAACCAAAAAAGCCTCCCCCCATGGAGCTGCCGGCCCCAGACCCCTGAGCACATCTGCGAGCTGCCGACGGGGAGGCTGTGCCTCCGGAAGGCGAAGCCTTCGTTGGCACGAAGCTCTGGGAGCCGCCTACTCAGCTGAAACCCAACAGCTTTTTCCAATTTTCTCATTCCCTGGGATGGTTCAATGACCTGGGGCTCTGCAGAATCGCTGGCAAATCCACCGAGGCAGGGCAGCAGTGCCTGCTTGGGGATTGGCGATGCATCCCCAGCTCATGGGAGAGCTCACAGGCTCCAGGCGGCTCTGTTGAGATGCTCTGCTTGCCCCTCTGGGAAGGGACAAAGCCCGATGCCATCAGCATAGGCAGCTCCTAAATGCAGGCAGCACAGTACAGAGGGCTGGCTGAGACTGGCCATGGCATGGGTGAGCCATCAGCTTCCCAAAGACCCAAACTTTGGGAAGTCCCAAACCCCACAGTGTGGCTGGGGTTGCACAAAGAAACGAACACATGGATCAGCTTTGGCACACACAGTTGAGCGCCGCAAGTCACAGCCTGGTGGAAAGGGGGGCTCGTGATCCTCCCACACTGTCCCTGCGGGAGAAGACCCAATAACTCTTTGGCTCTCCGGGCAAGATACCCAAATTGGTCAAATCCAATAGTCCAAGATCCTTCCATGTTTGGAAGCAAATTCTTGTTCCCTTGGCAAATCTGTTTGTCCTCAAAGAGCGTGTGGGGGGTATGTGTGTATATATAGCCGTTATTATGAGGGTGTGCGGAAAAGCAAGTTTCTAACCAAGTTCGCTCCATATGTGGCTATAATTATGTGCCACTTCAGCCTGGGACTGACTCTACCTTCAGAAGGGAAGGGAAGAGGAGAGAAGATGCTGAGACATTGGATGAGTGGCATGTGTGCTGGGCAGGTGGCGGATTTGTCCTGGACCGGCACAGGGGCTCCACGCTGTATCCTGGAGGAGGCCATGGGATGGGGTTTGCCCTGCTCAGTTCACGGTCGGCACCTGGTTCTGATGGAGGCTGAACTCTTTGGCTTTGAGGCGCAGGCTGGCGATGCTGTTGGCCATGTTCACCCCTTGGGTGGGCGTTGCGGTCCCGCTGGAGCTGTAGGAGGGCACAGTGCTGCAGGGAGGGAGCAGGGAGGAATGAGGCAATGGCCCATGGAGAAGTCCCCATGCCCTTTGTGGTCCTGCTGGCTTCCCAGGCCAGGCTGGCTGTTCCCTCTTGGAGATCTCTCACAAGAACAGCCAAGGCTTCAGCATTTTTATGTGCTTGGATGGATGTGGGAACCCCTCAAACTATGCACCAGGAGGCCCTGCTTTGTGCTTTTGCATGTGATGGCTGAACATGAACAGCTGGGAACCAGAAGGGACCCATGCCACCTCCTGTGCCGAGATGTGGGAAGGGTCAGCATGAGGCCAAGAAAATCCCTTGCGAGGACCAGGGCGCCTGCTCCAGCCCCGAAGTGCAAGGAGACAGAGAAGCCTGCTCAGCGTTGGGCAGCAGATGCTCAAAGTTGAAATGGTTCCCAAAGCCAAGTCAGATGAGCTCCTTTCAGCCTCATAAAACTCCCCAAATCCCCAGCAGTGGCACAGGGCTGCATTCCTGCAGCACTGGAGTGGTGTCTAGGCAGCTCTGTCCCACGGCCACCTCCTCCCCAGCTCCTCCAGGGCCTGCACCTACCTGTATGGGGAGGTGCTGGTCCAAGAGAGATACTCCGGGGTCAGTGCAGTGGGTCGTGGTGCCATGGGCTGCTCAATGGCTGCTTCTTGGCTGTAGGATTTGAGCAGTGATGCCGATCTGTTGGCCAGCATCGCCCTCTCATTACGGCGGAACTTGGCCCTCCGGTTCTGAAACCACACCTGTGACAAGGGTGAAAGGTGGTCAGTGGGAGCAGGGATGTCCCAAGCATCTGTCCTGTGGGTCATGGTGATGTGCAGGATGAAACAAAGGAGGGGAAAGTCCTTGCTCCTGCCTGGGGGCAAGGCAGAGGGTGCTGTTTTCTGCCACACAAACCTGTGCTCACCTGGACTCTGGCCTCACTGAGGTTGACCCTTCTCGCCAGCTCCTCCCGCACAAAGGCATCAGGGTAGTGCGTCCTCTCAAAGACCCTCTCCAGAGCCTGCAGCTGGCTGCTGTTGAAGGTGGTGCGGTTCCTCCTCTGCTTCTTCTTCCTCTTGGCTGCCCCACAGCTTGGGCTCAGGCTCTCGCCTGTGGGGGAAGAACAGGAGCCACATGAGACCTCATGAACCACATAAGTCTCACACAGACCCATGTGAGACCCCTGGCCCAGCCAAGCTCAAGCCCTCTGTGTCTGTAGTGTCCTGCTGTGCGCCAGCCATGCTCCCTCCAGGCACCTGGGGCTCTGTGGGGAGCTGCATATGTGCAACCTTGTGATGTCCATGAGAATCAAAACTTTTTTGGGGGGACTTGCTGGAGCTTAGGGTTAACCCCAAAATTTACCAGCCACCAAGGTCTGTGGTGGTTTCACATCTGGCTAAAACCATGTGGACCTGATTTTGAATACCAGTCTCAGTGTATTCTGGGGCTGCACTTGATCCAAGCTGGAGCTCAGCTCTTGCTAAGAAGCTCTTGCTTCTTGCTAGTTAAGTCAAACTTTCATGAATGGTGATGAAAACTCAGCACTAAAACACCCCCAAGATGTGGGTCTCTGCTCCCACCTCCAACACTCCCTGAGGCCCCAGGGCCCCAACTGTGGCATGTCCCCAAGGTGATACAGGACTGCAGCCAAGCATCTGCTCTTCCAGTCCTGGTCTTCAGAGCTCAGAATGAGCGGCACCACGTCTCGCAGGGCTCAGCCTCCGCAGTGTTTATTTCTGGCTTTGCTGGCTCATGGAAACATGAAGCTGAGGGTGTAGTCTGGTTTCTCAGTATTGATCTTGGGCTGTCAGCCAGGCTGAGATTAATCTCTTCTTTGTCACTAATATCATAAGGTTTGGGCAAGTTTATGAAGCTTTTTTCCGAGACACCCAGTCAGCTGCCTGCAAAGGCTTCGTGGGGAGCGCGACTCGCTGTCGTTCTCCCTTGTGGAGGTACTGGTTAATGATTCTTTCTGTTAATAAAGCATCTGGATCCAATCTGTACCTACTGGTGGGAAAGCATTTTGGAATTATTGGAAATGTTAATAAGTTTATGACATTCTGATTCATGGCAGGGGTATGTTGAGGCTTTCTGCTCTATCTCATTGCAGAGGTCAGGGTGGCAGAGCTCACCACTCCCTGAGTATGCTCACAAATTAAACACTTGCTAATAATAATAATTATGATACTTAACAAGTGCAGCATTTTCAGATAATGCTTGAGAAACAAACAAAATCCACTGGAAGGGATATTAACTTTGCTGTTTCAAAACACCATTAAGCTGTTGAGCAGGAGGAAACTTCCAAGATTTTTAAGGTCAGAAAAACTTTTTACACCTTAACTCTGAATAATTCAAGCTACGAAACGTCCAACAATAAGATTTTCATCAAGTCCTAGGGATGTGCCCAACTACACCATTCTCCCAAGGCCTCTCTGCAGCCACTGGCATTTCTCTGGGTCTTTTATTGTGCCATAGGTGCAACTTGGCCTTGGCTGACCATCAACAATCTGTGATCTCGTATTTGGACATGGCCTTCTTGGTTGGGTGAAGACACGATGGACAGTGCCTGAAGTATGTGTGGTTTTGAGACCCTTTCCCCAGCCAGGAAACCACAGGCTGCCTTTCGCCACCAATCGTGTTTAAAGGCTCACAAATAAAATTCTCAGAATTCCCTCCAGCACTTGTTCCTCCAGCTTCAAATGTTCTGCCAGTCTCTGCTTTCCAGTTGCCCCTTTTAGTTAAACTCCTTTTTTGGTCCTGTTTTCCTTCAGCGAGCTAATGAGCTGCTGGATTAAAATACATGAAGTCCAGCCATGGTTGTCCCTGAGTTTTCTGGGAGCTTGGGACTGAAATGGGAACCATCAGACTGGGAAAGAGCTACAGGATGTAACAGGGTGAGAGGTTTCCTTGTGGATTTATGACCATGCCACAGGGCTTCTGAGGAAAAGGTAGATCAGGGTTTGGTTCAAAAGGTGTAGTCATAAGGGTACCCACTGCCCCTCACCAAACTGGCAATGATTTCAACAGAACCCTGGGAAATGTAAAAATAAAATTTATAAACCCCCTTTGACTTCATCCTCAATTTAAACCTGCTTACAGGACTTTTCCATACTGATGATTTCTCTCACCACTCTAATTTGGCCGAAAGAAAGGAGGAGGAGGAAAGTTTTTTAAAATTAATTCTCAATCCAGTTCTGTAGGATTTGGCCACATTTCTGGCAGGTCTTTATCTCCCCAAAACCACAGAAGGAAGAGCTAAACAGCCACAGGAGACAAGTGGTGCTGAGTGCTTCCCATATGGGGCTGGCAGTCATGCTGGGATCGAGGTTTAGGACCGGGGTTGGATCAGGATGTGTCCAAGTGCCAGAGGTTCCTGGGTTTTTGGAGACATCCAAACCCTGGGCTATGCTGGCTTTGGGGCATTTTGTTAAGCCCCTATTGCTGATTTTCCAGGCCATCTCTGTATGGCAGGGAGGCAGCTTCACACATGAAGTGCCTGCCTGGATCCTGTTCTTAGGGATGAGCAGGGAGGCAGCTTCACACATGAAGTGCCTGCCTGGATCCTGTTCTTAGGGATGAGCCTTGGGGATGAGCTAACGATCTTTTCATCGTTAGCTCAGGCATTTCAGGCTTGTGGGACCAGGCAAATGCCACCCTAATTGCTGGTGGTGAGTGTCTGACAGGTTTACAATGTACAGTCAGCCTGGATTTCTTCTATCAGAGATGCTTTAATGCTTTAGTAACCCCAAATCAGCTTCCCAAAAATGAGCAAGCCTAAGTTCTCTGTGGCATCAGAGAAGGAATGGGAAGAGGGATAAGTTGTGTCCCCTGAAGACACCCTGTCCTCTCACTGCCATCAGTGGGACTTGGATTTAACCAGACCTGCTGACATCCTGATGGAGGAATTGGAAACCAGTTCCCCAGTCCGATGGGCTTCCAGAAATAAGAATTTGTATTTGTACAGAGTTAAATCAGCTTCCCACCATCACTGTTCTGTCCCAAAGCAGTGCTTGGGGAGGTTGTGGAGAAAGCCAAACCCTTTCCTTTGTCAGGTATAATTTGGGGGTTCATTTGAGCTGCAGGGACCAGTTTGGTTGGCCAACCCTGAGGTCAGAGGGGCTCCTGAGCCTTCCCCCCCAGCCACCTTCCCTGTATTTATCTTCCACTGATTACAATTTCCGCTGAAAGGAAAAGAAATGCAGGGAAAGGGGGAAAGCAGGGGGGATAACATTACTGAATAACGAAAGATGACATGCGGGGGAGGATGGGCAGAGGGAGACACTGGGGCTTTGCACAGAGCAGGATAGGCCCAATGTGCATCACAAAAAAAGCCTTAAATTGCTGTAGAGTGTTAGGAGAGACAGGAGAATTTTCACCCATGATGTGGATGGGTTTTAGGGTTGTGGCCTGAGTAACCTCCAGCCCCCTCTCTGGGCTGTCCTGCCCTGCTCTCTGGGCTGCTCAAAAGCTGCAGACAGCCTGGGAGCAGTGCTGTGCCCTACAGATGTTGTGGGGTACTGGAGTCACCCAAAACCCTTCTCCCTGTGGGAGCACCAATGCCGGCAAACCTAGACTATGTCACACTGAGAAGCTGGGGGTGACAGGTGCTGCCCCATTTGCAAAGGCTACACCACCCCTGGGTCAGAGCCGTGCTGGTTCAGCTGGGCACCAACCCAGCCCCCTTCTCCGACTCTTGCCTTTTCCCTCTGTGCTTCCATTAGTTCTCCATAGGAAAGACTCAGCGGGTCTCACTCTTGGTGCTGGGTTTGCCAAGGGGGGCCCTTACACTGGCAGGACCCCCAACCTCCCACAGCTGTTGTTGAGCACTGTAAAGAGGTAATTTTCACTTGACTTCCACCAAGACTTGGGTTTAGACTTACGAGCTCCTTTAGCGCTCAGCAAATGGCCTCAGGGCAGCTGTGATCCAGACCAAGGAGCATTGACAATCCCAGCAGCTCACTCGCCTGAGCCCCCAAAACACGGACAGGGATCCTCCCTTGGCATGTCTTTCAGGGATGGGCTTTACTGGGCCATGCTCAGCCTCCCCTCTGACACCCAGTTTGGGGGGTTTCTTTGCTGGATGCTCATCCAGAGTGCGGTGTGTGCCCAGCACCATCCCTGCTACCCCAGATGGTCACTTCAGCCAGCTGCCAGCTCTCTCTTCCTCAGGTGACGCTGCAAACTCCTTTCCCCATGAGTAACACCACATCCTGGGACAAGTTTTCCCGAGTCCAACTCTAGCTCTTGGCTTTGGGGTGCAAATACCCCTGCTTTTCAGGTCACAAGGCAGCAAGTTCAACCCTCTCACGCAAAAAGCCCAGGCTACATCTCCTCCAACGTGTTTCATTTTCCATTGCACCGCAGCCCCCATGGCCCTAAACAGTTTTCTGTCATTAAATTATTTCACACGTTCCATTTATTTGCAAGCAGTTTGCCAAAGACCCTTTAAGCTTTAAATTTTTCACACCCCCCCCAGCCAAAATGATCAAATCTGCTGTACCATTTACTTCCCTACTACGCCTGGAATGGCATTTTTTTCCTCCTTTTTTCTTCTTGGGTATAATTTAAGGGTTGAAATAGCCTGGAGGGAATTAGCTGTAAATTCTTCCTAAGACAAATAAATTCAGCCCTCTAAGTTTCTACGTTTTTCAAACTGTTGAGAGACATTTTGGGTTTGTTTTACTTGAAATAATGATCGTGGCATATCTGACCCCCAGGCTGCGGCCAGCTCTAGCCAAATAAATAGCTTTTATTAATTAAGGTCTATCCTTAACAAATAAAACCCCAATTTGATCTCGGCCGGCTGAATTAGCAAAAATAAACAACGGGTTCTCTGGGCACTTGATGTGGATTTAACAAATTAACGCTGGGCCTTCATCAGGGAAGCCGCAGGGTGGTGGAGGTCTTTTACAGCCAAGAAATCCTTTGGAAAAACAATGTCTTTCGTTTCTCCCATGGTCTCTCTCGGTAAACATGCACTCCCTTCATCCCTTTATACACTCGGGGGAAGCGAGGAGAGCTCCAGCGATGACGACTGCCAAAGTTTCATGTGCAATTGTTTAACTTGTTCCTCTAAATCATGCGATGGGGAGGAAACGTTTCCCCTCAGACTGCAGAGAGCTGGAGCAAAGCTCTGGGGTTTGGGAATTGCCCCTCCATGGTGTGTGCCCACTCCAGCTCCTTTTTATCCTACAACCTCCAGCTGAGACACCCGAAGCTAGGGTGTGATTTGAGGGTGCATGGGCTGCCAAGTGCAGATGACCTCTCTTTCCAGCAGCCACTTCCAACACTGCCCTGCCTTGGGATGCAGTTGGGAACAGCCTGGGAGCCCAGGAGGGGTTTTACCAGGGCTTTGAAGGGAGGAGAGATAGCAGGAGGAATGCTCCACAGGCCAGAGGGAAGCTGGGCACTTGTCACTGCCCATGGGCACAGGAAGGACAGGGTTTGTTGCAGAAGTGATGGTGGGAGATGACTACACCACAACAGGTCTTTAATGTCCCCAAATCATCTTGGAAAGCCTGGGAGGCTGAGAAGCAGCCAGGAACCTGCCCCTCCACATGTGCTGAGTCCCAGGTACGGTGCCTTTCCTGCACCCACCAGTGAGCCCAGCCTGCTGCACAGGACCGACACAGCACCAGCTTGGGGGCAAAGCTGAAACTCCCATTTTCTGCATGGTTTCACCCCAGCAGCCAGGTGAGAACCCTTTGGGACTGCCAACCTCTGCCCACAAGATGCCAGCCCCAGCTTTGTTTGGCATGATGCTGTGAGGTCCAGACCCATCTTGGGAACAAGCATGGATGTGAGGGGCAGGGTATCCCTAGGGAGCAAGGGCTGACAGCCCTTCCCCAGGTTCCCACCTCCTTGTCCCGACCCACTGCTGCTCCCTGCTCCCCTTCCAGCCCAGCCCCAGCCTCGCAAAGACCCTGGGAATGCTGAAGGCTCCAGGGGGAGGTTGAAGCTGGGGGGGTCCAAATGTGCTGAGTCCGAAGGAAACTTTCTCGGCTCAAGTGGCGTACATGAAAAATTTAAGAGAGGGGCAAGTCCCAGCTACTGGAGAAACATTACAGCAAAATGTTTCCGAGGATGTTTCACCTCATTAATTGTGAAAAAACTGAAACGCTGACACGTTTTTACAGGCTGCCAGTTTTGCTGGGGGAAAAGTGTCTCTGCTAAAAAGGAGCAGCAAAAGCCTGGACCAAGAAAGAGGCCAAGGCTGTCCCGGGGGGGCCTTAGCCCGTGCTCACTGACAGGCAGCAGCAGCCTGTTTTATGGTTATAGAGCTGCCTCTGCACCAGCCAGAAACCACCCAGCACCACAGTTTGCTGCCCCCAGCCACACAGACACCCAGTTTTTGGGAAGATCCTGCCCAGCAGTGCTGCAGCCCCAGGGATGCTCCATGCACAGGCTGCACCCCCAGAGCCCAGGAGGTTTTTCCCTTGCACCCCTGGATGGTGTGTGGTGTCTGAGTACCCATCACAGCAAGTCCAGCTGAAAGCCAGAACAAACCAGAAAGGTCCTGGCTGAGCCAGCAGCATCTCTGCATCCCAGTGGGGATGTGTCCAGCCTGTGCTGGTGGTGGCACTGAAGCTTTTTTTTAGCTCATTGTTAGTGCAGCAAATGCACTGGGAACATGATGCTTAGATGGGTACTGGGAACAGAAAGAATGTGAAAAGGAAGATCCCCATGTCATGAGACACTGGTCTCCTTAGGGAAGGTTCCAGCCCAGAATTAGCCACCAAATTCGCTGCTGAGAGCAGTGAGTGGATTCAGAGCTGGGTCTCCAGTTGGCTCTGGAGCAAGGGCAGCTGTGCTGCCAAACCCACATGCACAAGAGGGAGAAGATCAGGAAGTCACAGTGAGAAAGAAAGAAGATAAGAGAATGAAGAAGAGGAGCAGATGCTGGAGATGCCAGGTGAGGAACCAGCCAGTCAAATCTTGTGCTGGGATTTAGAGAGGACGCCCTGAAAGTTGAAAGCTGGTGAAATGCACAGGGCTGCAGGCAAAGCCCTTAGGCTCTGATGTGCTCAGGAGTCCCAGCACTTCACACCATATCAGAAGCTATTGCTCCAGTCAGAGGCTCCTGCAGAGCCCAGCACAGCGCTCACCCAGCTGAGGCCAGGCCCCAGGAATGGTGTTTTGGCACAGCCAGCTCCTGCGTCAGCGGAAGCATTTAATGAATTAATTGCAGCCACATTCCCTGAAGGAGCAGGCAGGGTTGGTGGGATGCTGTCAAACCTCAGGAAGGGGCTGGAGAACATCTTTGGCCACAAAGCTCTGGTGGGAGTAAGGGGAGTAGGCTGAGCAGCACAAGAAATTCCTGTCCATTCTCCCAGGGATCTGGGAGAGATGGTGCCTTCACCCACCTTTCTCCAGGGGTGGGATCTGCCTATGGACAGACCTTTGGAGAAGCTGACACGGACACATCCTGCTGCCGGGCTCACTGGCTCAGGATACACCCCAGCATCCTGGCCCCAGCCCCAGCCCTGCCTG